GTGTGGGGGTGGGTGTGGGTGTGGGTGTGGGTGTGGGTGTGGGTGTGGGTGTGGGTGTGGGTGTGTGGGTGTGGGTGTGGGTGTGGGTGTGGGGTGTGGGTGTGGGTGTGGGTGTGGGTGTGGGTGTGGGCGTGTTTCTTCTATTTATCACACCCACACCTATACCCTGTTTCGTTTGCTACGAACGAGCTTTTCTTATATTCAAACATGCTGTTTCTCGATATATCACATTTTGTTTTTTAGATATTTCGCCCAAGGAGATCTGAGAGAAATGAATAATTGCTATCGATTTCTTCCATGGAATATATATACACAACGGAGGATGACTTGTTTTGTATGACGGAAAGTTTGATGAAATAGGAGGCTTAATTTAATCTCTTTCTTCGTAAGATGAGTTTTTATTTGCACATCATTTTTCAAAAGTTGCCAAATTAACTGATGACATTTTTTTGTTTGAAAAACAACTTTATCAGACAAAACAAGGTGTTTTTAGAGTATTACAACTACACAGTATGTATACGAGTGAATTGCAAAATTATTGTACGATTCCATGGAAAGACAGACGAAAAAAATTTTGGAATTTTTACAACAGTGATTAGCACTTTATATGATATTACATAAAATAGAAATAGGATTACAATTTTCCAACCATCCCTATCAGATGGATCAAAATATGAGTTTTTCAAAAATATTTTAAAATTTAATTTAGCGCTTTTTGTTTTTAAGAAGCAGCTATGCTTAATCTAGAAGTAGTACTTTAAATAGTATGATTTATCCTAAGGTATATTTGGCTTTTTTCATAGATGTCAAATCAAAAAATTGAATTCATTTATTGAACAGCTGTTTCAATCATTCTATTTTTGAATAGTTGAAGTTTATCTGTTTATTTAATCACTTATTCCGTTATTTGACTTTATGAAATTTAAGTATAGAATATTTTCCACCTACAATCTAAGCAATATAATTTTGGTACGTTGCATGTTACTCATATCGATACTAATACAACATAAGCGGGAAGCTGTGGGCACTGTAACATGACTTTCATTACATCTGCACTTGACACGACTGGTATTTGCTTTCGGATCCAATAGAAAAGTTTAGAAAAATAGCAGAGCCGTATAGTGGCGCCACATTCAGATGTCAGAGGTCAATACAGACCCTTTCTTTGGTTTTATCGCATCCTAGAATAGAATTTTATTGAATTTCGACCATATGAATCCGACTGTTGATCCAACTTCGAAAAAAATAGAAAACCTTTAATTTTAGATATTTACGGTGAGAATTCCGCAGAACTCCTATTGGATCCCACAATAGAAATGACTCACCTAGGAAGTATTCTTGTAACACAATTATAATAATAGGCACCAGTATTCATCGTTTATAATATTTTGCGATGGTTATAATATATTTGAAAATTACATTACTGTTCTTATAGATATAGGCCAATGCTTTGTAATGAAACTGAGACCAAACATTCTAATATCAGTCAATGTACGAATTGAAATTCAGATGATATGTGAATCATCCAATCACATTTTTTTATTTTGAGTGTTACACATGTGTTAGGAAAGAAGAAGAAAAAAACAAAGGAATATGTATGAAAAATACCCGAGCTTTCTCTTTCATGTGACTTTGACATTTTTTGAAACAAATTAAATGATATTTGTTAAATTCTAGAGTAAGAACGACTTCTTGGCCACAACAATGGCATCAAAAAGAATTTACAAAGAACGAAAATTGTTAAAAGAATCTCCAATTATACAATCATATTTTCAATATGATAATTCTCAAGAAGATGACGCTTTTGATCCGTTTGTCATGTATGGATATATATTACCACATAGAGTACCATATAAATATGGCTCATTTAAAGTAATGATTAAATTTCCGATCGATTATCCGTTCAAGCCACCGAAATTTTATTTGTTAACGCATATTTATCATCCAATTGTAAGCAGCAGCGTTTCAAATCCGCATATCTGCGGAGACTGTACGTGTTTCCAATGGCATCCACGTAATACTGTCTTCGATTTAATTAAGCATATTGTAAATGCAATTGATCGACCAGAACATCGAGAACTATATTGCATCAATAATGTAGAAGCTCATAAACTCTTTGCTGAAAATAGAACTGAATTTGAAACTATAGCTTTGAATATGGTGAAGAAATATGCTCGTCCACGTGTATGTTTATCAATTATTTCATTGAAACTGACAATAAAAACAATGATACTTGTGAAATTAAATTTTGATTCGACAAAAATCGATCAATTGCCAGTATCCAAGTCTCTGATACAATATCTGAAATCAGCATCGCCACAATGAAAAAAACCGTTAAATTTATATTATAAATATTTTTTATCTTCTCTTACTGTAATAGAAAAAAAATAAAAAATGTATTCTAATTCGTTTCAATAAAAATATTGATTCATCACTCTATCTTCAAAACATGATTTCTTTTAAGTTTCACCCTTATCAGATATTAGTAATAATGCATATGTGTTTGTGAATCTTTTTACTTTATCCAACTCTAGCCTAGATGTAACGATCAAAACGATACGTCGTGTTTTCAACTGCTCTTTATTTCAATTTGTCTCTTCCTTTTATAATCCCGTTCCACTTCAGCGCGCGCTATTCAAACGGAGAGGAAGAGAACAGGTATATATATATACAGTTAGAGAGAGAGACAGAGCATAAGAGAGAAACAGAAGTGAACATAGAGATAATTATCAGTGGGTAAGAGCGGAACACATTATTAAGTAGAAGAATATCAGCTACACTAGAACATGTGTATAAATCGTCACACCCCCTCATCCAGACGAGACGCACTCCTGGGCGTCTGGTTGAGTAGAGAGTAAAACGACCGTTGATCAACAAAAATTAGAGTAGAGCACACCACAATAGATCATCAACAGAAAAGAAACATGAGAAAGAGCGAGAAAAGAAAAAGCAAGGAGAAAAAAAAGAGAAAAAGTATTGATATACAAGTAGATGAGCGAATCGTTGCCAGTGGCTGAACGCAGTGACAGGAACAAAAACAAAAAGGTTTTTTTTTTTTTTTTTTTTTAAACGTTATTAATTAACACTTTATGTACATGATTATCTTCGAGTTTGACGCGAGTATCTGTTTGAGGTGGTCTGATTAAGAAACTATTGTTTGACATCTTCAAATCGACGGCATCGTAATCATTCCAGCTGTTGATGTTTTTTTTTTCACTTTACGTATTAGTTTGACGTACAAGATGATTGAAGTAGTTACGATTATGCCAAGTAGTCCCACTGCTACGGCTAGTCCATGTTGATACCATGGTGTTGCTGTCGATGTGAATACTGGTGTTGTCGTTATTAAATATTCGATCATGTTTTGTATATTTCCTGGTATATATGGTATCTTTTTCCATTGGGTATTATTGTTCATCGTTTGATATAAATTAATCAGTTTTGAATCATCGTAATTCAATTTCTTGTTGTCGATAATATGAATAAGTTTATTCGTATCATTCGCTATACCAGGTAGTAAAAAATGATCACAGCTCCATGTTGTTGATCTATCAATGGTCAATAGTGCGATAGGTGGAATGGTTATTTCATTGTTTGTTGTCATCGCATGCTCTTCTTGTTCCAGCTGCGTAACACGGTGACACTTTGTTTCATTTCTTGTCGATATCGCCCATTGTTGACCGAATCTTTGTATAAAGATAGGTTCTAATTCAAGTTCAGTACGACATAATGTTAAGTTTGAGTCTGTTAATATCTCGAATAAGCACGTTTGTTGCCAGTTCTTTTGAATTGGTGGTGTTTCCCGACACGACGATAATGATTTGAATTTACATGTGATGCTGTCTTCTTTCGTCCATTTTCATTTTTTTCTTGTCTTGTGATTGTGTTGCACAGTGGAATTTTTTTCATAGCTTTCCATGGTATGATATAACACATATCACTCACCACCGGTATAGATATTGTGATGGATATTACTTCGTTTGCTGGTTTATACTCCGACAGGTACTTCATTATAAGACCAGACGATTTGTGTAATACATCATGTTGAGGTAGAAGAGTTGTCAACGTGGTGGCTAATGGTAGGAAGCATGCTGTTGTTAGGATCCACAGATTTGTGTAATGTTTCATCTTATTTCTGTGATGTTATTAAGTGAATTTTGTATTTGTTTGTGGATAGATCATTGCGTCGTTTCCTTTTCTTTTTGCTTGCGTTTTTTTTTCTTTTTTGTAAGGCATCGATTAGATGAATTCATTGTCGAATGGTTATTCGTTTTCTTTCGTCACGGCTGAATGATGTTCCCTCTTCGTAATATATATATATGTATGTTTGTTTTTCTTTCTCTTCTCTTTTTGTGTCACCTAATTTTGTTATCTAATCGATGCTATCGGTTATTGTTTAATTTGTAATGTAGCGTATCGGCACCCTGCGGTGACGATCTGACACTCGACGCTGCGATGAATTATTGCACGTTGGCTTTTCATTTCTTTTCACCTTTTGTAGATATAGATCTGATAATCGTGATTCATGATTGTTGATTGATGTTTCAGTCTGTCTTTCATGTGCTGATTGATCATTTGTGGTTGTTGTCGTGCTTCGGTTGTTTCTGTTTAATTCGATATATGGTTTGATGCGATCTGTATTCGTTGCACCTAAGTTCACATTATCACTCAAACGACATACTGTGAACGTGTTTGGTGATAGTTGTTTGATCAAGCGGCATGGACCAAAATAATGTGGTTGTAATTTTCCTCCCATGGAATTTTCTCCAATATATGCTGTCGGGCTCGCCACCCATACGAGATCACCTTCGTTGTATTGTCTTTGAGTTGTGTGTTGGTCGTAGTTTTCTTTTTGTTTCAATTTGTTTATTTCTGAATGTTCCTTAACAATCTTAAACGCCCATCGTAGATTATTGATTAAATTCTTCTTATATTCTTGAATTTGTCCCTGCTCAATAGTTGCTGGTTGTGATTCTTTTATTGTTTCGCCAATTAATAAATCAAGTGGACCTCTAGGGTCTCGACCGAACATCATAAATGCTGGAGTTTCACCTGTCGTATCATTGACTGCTGTTCGGATTGCGAAGGCTAATTTTTGAATTTCATTATCCCATGAGTTGGGTCGTTGTTGAGCGTATATGGCAATTAACGGTTTTAATGTTCTGTTCACACGTTCTGTCATATTGCTCTGCGGGTGGTAATTCGCCGTTAAATTTTGTTTAATTCCCAATATATCACAGAAATTTTTAAATAAGTTCGAGACGAATTGGGGACCATTATCTGATACGATGTGTTTTGGTAATCCATATCTTGAGAATATTTCGTTCGTGAGGATATTTGCTATATCGTTTGATGTAGTTGATCTCAGTGGAAATAGTTCGATCCATCGAGTAAAATAATCCACCACAACGAGAAGAAATCGCTTTTGTCTTGCTGTAGTTGGCAGGGGTCCTAAAATATCCATACCAATTGTGTGCCACGGTTCGTTCACTAAATGCATTTGCATTAAACTTGATGTGGGGGCGTTATTGTATTTGAATTGTTGACATGCTTGACACGCCGCTACGTAATTAAATATATCTTTTCTCATTGATTTCCAATATACTCTTGTCGACAATCTAAATAATGTTTTTTGCTGACCACCGTGTCCAGCTGTTGGATGATCATGAGCCCATGTTAATAATTGATTTTGCATTGTTTTCGGAATGACAAGTAAATGTTTTTCGCCGACTACCCGTTGGTTATAATGTTTCTTTGAATTTTTAATTTTGTATAGTAGTCCATTTACGAGAACGTGTGGATTACGTTTGTCATTAAATTCTAACGTTGATTTCTTTTTTAAAAGTTCGATAATTGGTTTTAATTTCGGGTCGGCTTCTTGTTCTTTTTTTATATCATTAAGAATGTTTGTATTTTGCCATAGGTTAACAGCTGTTTCTATTGTTGACACTTCCTGTTGATTAATGTCATCATTTTGTAATGGATTACGTGATAAAGAATCGGCGTTAGCGTTTAATTTCCCAGGGCGATATTTTATTTCTTCGATTTGATACGCTGATAATTTCATTGCCCAGCGAGCTAATCGACCCGTTACATCTTTTGCCGTTCGCATCCATTCTAATGCTTTACAATCTGATCTAACATAAATTTTATTTCCTTCGAGGTATGGACGAAAATATTTTGTTGCCCACACAATGGCTAATGCCTCTCGTTCTGTCGCTCCATATTTTCTTTCAGCTGTTGATAATGTTCGGCTTGCATAAGCTATTACATATTTCTTTCCATCATATTCTTGTGTTAATATTGCCCCCAAGCCATATTCACAAGCGTCGAGTTCCAATATGAACGGTTGTTCAAAGTTTGGTGTGTTCATAATTGGCGCATTTGTTAATTTTTTTTTTAATGTTTCAAAGGCATTGGTGCATTCTTTTGACCATTTCAATTGATGATTACCTTGTTGAGAGTTTCGGAGCTGTTGTAACAGTGGTTCCGCTATTTTTGAGTAATCCTTGATGAATCGACGATAATAACCAGTTAAACCCAGGAATGATTGAACATCTTTGATCTTCTTCGGCTGAGGAAAATTTGTTACGGATTTGATTAAGTCTGGATCTGGTTTAATGCCATTTTGCGTGATAATGTGTCCCAAATAACGCATTTCTCGACGACAGAATTGGCATTTTGATGCTTTCAATGTCAGATTTGCGGATTGAAGAGCTTGAAAGACTTTTTCTAAATCCGTCATATGTTGTTCGAATGTTGGAGAAAAAATGACCACATCATCGATGTATACGAGACAGCATTGCCACTTGAGACCGGCTAATACTATGTCCATTAATCGTTGGAATGTTGCTGGTGCATTTGTTAATCCGAATGGCATAACGTTAAATTCAAATAGACCTTTATGTGTTACAAAGGCAGTTTTTTGTCTTGAATCTTTATTCATTTCTACCTGCCAATATCCGGAGCGTAAATCAAGTGTGGATACAAATTTTGCTTGTTGTAGTGAATCTAATGTATCATCTATTCTTGGCAGTGGATATGCATCACGAATTGTTACTGCGTTTAATTTTCGGTAGTCTATACAAAAACGTAAACTTCCGTCTTTTTTTGGTACTAATATAACTGGTGATGCCCATGGACTTGTTGATGGTGAGATAATTCCTTGATCTAACATTTCGTTTAAGTTTTGTTCGATAACTTGTTTTCTTGTTGGTGCATATCTAAATGGTGGTGAATTAAATGGTTGTGCATCTGAAACTAAATTAATTTGATGTTGTAATTTTTTCGTTCTTCCTGGTTGTTCATTAAACACATCAGGAAACTTGTGAATGAGTTGATTTATTTTTTCTTTTTGATGTTCATCTAAATCGGTGTTGATTAAACTTAATTCATTATCTGATCTTGATGTCGTCTGTTTTATTGCTGATGATATCGTTCCATGTTGCATCATGTTTATTTGTGTTTGATTAAGACGAGTCATTGTCGCGAGCGGCTGATTTTTATAGATTATAATCGCTCTTTCTGTTAAGTTGGCCACCTGTAGTGTCATGTGCTGACGTGATGTAATAATGCCGTTCGCTACACATGGAGTTTCTTTTATTGATGTTACTTCGTATTCATTTTCTTCATCGTCTTCTGTAATTAAGAATGGCTTGATTGGTTTAACTTCAATGTTAAATGCATGAAAAGGTGCAATTTTAATGCGTTCATTGGCAATCAACACGTAATTATCATCATTGCTGATTGTTTCTTTTCTTTCCTGTTGCAGCTGTGCGCTTCTTTTCTTTGATTTGAAATACGCATATTGACGTCCCCCATCTATTTGAAGATTATGTTTGCGAATGAGATCATTACCGATAATACATGAGCGCCATAATTTTGGAACTACGTAGATTCTATGTACACGTGTTGAGTTTGAAATAGTAATTGGAAGTGATAAGGCATATTTGACACATAGTTGTGATCTATCCGCCAATTGAAGACATAAATTCGGGGGAGGAGGTTGTGCTTTTTGACGATAATATCGTGGTAACTGGAGAAAAAATTGAAGATTAATTAGGGTGAGTGATGCTCCCGAATCGATGAGTAATGTTGTACGTCTTCCTGCTACCATGCCGGGTAATATTAGTGGAGTATTGTTGTGAATGTTCATAGTGTGGATTTCGGCGGATAGTTGGACGGGATACTTTACATTCGAGCGACATGGACCCGTCCATCCTGTGCTCCATTGTCGTTTTTTGAATAATGCCAAGTATTCTGTTGTTGATAAGTGCTATATTGATATGGACAGTCTTTTCTGAAGTGTCCTTTTCTTCCGCACATGTAACATTTTGTTTCATTTAATGAATGTATATTGCGTTGATTGCTTGTGGCTTGTGTTGAATAATGTGATAGTTGAGGTGTCGCATTATAATTGCCATTTCTATTCGACGTGAAATTTCCTCTGTTGTTTGATTTTGTTTGTCGGTTCATTTGATGAGCTGACATTGTTTGCACCTCGTGATGATCATCGTTATTATACATTGATGTTGTTGATATATCATTGTGCAATAAATCATGGTTATCATTTTTATGATGTTGTTTATTTCGCTGATAGAGTATTTCTTCAATTTTTTGAGCTTCGATGATAATTTCATCTAATGATTCACATCGAGATATTCCAATCATCGTTAATAAATTATTTCTCATCTTACACATCAGGTGTCGGATGAGATCATTTTCTGTTTCATTCGGCTTTTGTTCTTGCCAGAGGGCACGAAGGCGCACGATGAATTCATTAATTGTTTCATTTTCTTCTTGTTTACAGTCTTTCCACTGTTGTTCTTGTCGTGCGCGTCGGATTGGTGAGTTAAATTAATTGAGAAAAATTATCTTGAATTCCACCCAAGTTTGCGGACGTCGATTTGAGACGCGTAGTTGGCAGTACCATTCAAGAGCCGTGTCTCGTAGGAATTGTGAGATGCCATTAAGTAACGATTGGTCATTCCAATGATTTATTGTTTCAGCATATTCTTTGACTCGAATGAGGAACTGACGAGGACTTTCTAGGATGCTTCCACTAAATGTTGGTATCGATGATGATGGTGGAATGATGATGGTGTGTGATGTTTGAGCGGTACGTTCATTTGATAACATTTGTCGTGCATTGTTCTCAGCATGTTGTCTTTGTTCTGTTCGATTGTGTTGATCAAGTTGACCATTATCAAATGATTCTTCTATTGTTGATGAATTACGTTCTGTGTGTGGTGTAGAGATATTTTCTTCTATCAGTTGATTATGATTATTTTTTCCTAATGTTTGCATTCTAAGAGCTTCACACATATTTTGGATTTCCATTTTCATATCTCGAATACTGTCGGTTAGCTGCTCCCATTCTTTTTGTTTTTCTTCTAACTTTGATACAGTAACATTTTGCCATTCTTGTGTTTGTGCTTGAATAGCTTCGATCTGGTTGCTCATTTTCTCCTGTAGCTTAACGACTTCATGTGGTAAATTCATATTGGTATTCTTGCTTTGATCAATCAAGTTGTTGTGTATTTCCGACAATTTTGTCTCTAAAGTAATCAGCCGTGCGTTGTTGCTAATGTTTGCGTCAGATAGTTTTTGAACCGCCTGTTCAACTGTGACTTTTTCGGATGCCATAAATATTTTTATTGTTATCGTTAATTATATATATCTATATTTTTTTCAATGTCTTATTCGATCAGAAGATTGAGATTCAGTTTGTCAGGGTCGCCATGTAACGATCAAAACGATATGTCGTGTTTTCAACTGCCTTTATTTCGCTATTTCCTTCTCTTTTATACCTGCGTTCCACTTCAACGCGTTTCTATCAAGAGACGAGGAAAAACATACAGAGAGAGACATACAGAGAAAAGCATACAGAGAGACATACAGAGAGAGAGACATACAGAGAGAAAGACATACAGAGAGAGGCATACAGAGAAAAGCATACAGAGAGACCTACAGAGAGACATACAGAGAGATAAACAGATATCGCTGTATATGAACAATTGTGTGTACGAACGGAACACGATATTACATACATACATAACCAACGCCTAGAATAGGTGCCTACTTCGGCACAATACGGATTCGAAATGTCACGCAGTTGAATTGACTTCTGGTACCAATCTTGATGATGATAAAAGCGTGTATAACAAAACTATAGAAATACGATAAGTTGTCGAACTTCTCGAACTTAAAAATCACTCATGAATTCTTAAATAGTAACAATAAAATCACATAAAGAATTTTAATTAATTCTTTTGTTGATCTCCTTGTTTTTATTTCTGATATAATTTTTGCTTCATTGTTGTCATTCAACTTTTCTTTCTTCCTCTAAGAGATAAATGTTATAATCTTTTAAGAATTCATAATTGATTCTTAAGCTCCAACAGTTTGGCAGCTTATCGTATTTTCATAGTTTTGGTGCACTCATTTTTACTATTATCAAGATCGATACCAGTAGCCAATTCAACAGCGTGCTGTTTCGAATGTGTATCATGCATTTCTAATCGGATGAATTATTTTCTCCAAAATATTGTATAACAAACATCAATACAAAAATTGATGATTTTTAATAATAGGCTCAGCCACAGATATAAAAATTTTAGCTCTCTATATCAATAAAAAGTTTTCAAAAAAAAATAATTAGTTAATAATTTATCATCAGTTATAATAGAATGTTCCTTATATGTTCAAAAAGGATTTAAGTATTATCTAAGATCGTTTTCGACGATGTTACATGTCTAATTAGACTATTAAAATTGAGAAAAGAATTTTGCTTCAGAGCATTGACCAAGAATAAGTTTCTTTCTGAAACTAGTAAAAAACCCAATAAATTCACCCATATTCACCATGGTTGAATACCATCAACTAGGATTATAACTAGAACATATGTGGCAAATCAAACAAAGATCGATCAGAAATCTAAGAAAGACAAGTTCATATGAACTGTTTACTAAAGAAAACTACCTGAAATTGATTTTTTGTAAGATTTCGACAGAAAATATATTCTTTATAGTTTATGGTTACAGCTAATTTTTCAAAAATAGAAATAATATGATTCATCTATTCGAGTTTTTGCACTAATCAATGAATATAAGTGAGTTAGAAGAGAAAGAATGAAGAAATTTATTTGTTTGAATTTTAATTATTTATGGATTGTAAAAAAGTAAAAAAAAAGAAATTTGTCTTCATCTCCTCCTAAAAGGCAAGTCTGTTACAGATACATCATCATTGTATTACAAAGCAGTTTTTCAAGTAGATTATTTAAATTTGTTCGTCAAATAGTGTTATCTGAGGGTGTTGTTGTTAAAGAATTGACGAAATATTCAGACCGACACCTTCGATATTGATCAAGATTGGAGTTAACAATTATTATCTTCCGTATTTGAACAATTAGATAGAGAAAGAAACTGATGTAAAATGAAAATAATAACAGTATTATTATGTTTTCAGAAAGTGAAAATACTTGTCTTTTTAAAAATGATAACCACTAAGATAAAATTAGTATCTATCGTATTATTTGAAAGAGTAATATGAAGAGTAACTATCTTATGTCAGAGTCACGAGGAATTTCAACTCAAATTATTCATAACTAAATTTGAAATCATCCTATATTATTCATAATAAAATTTTGAATTATTCTTTCAATCTTTTTCTTCAATAGAGTGTTTTAAAAATTTGATCATTTTTTTTTATTAATATAGTCGTTGGTTTGGTCGCATTTGTTTATAATCTGTGTTGAAATACTTGTAAAACTTGATGAAAATAGACAATGAAAAACAAAATGTCAGTTTAAAATCGATCATATCTTTTATTATTCTCGAGTTATTCTAGAAAATAGTCACATACACCGACTTTTTCAACGAACAGCAATTACATGAATAACGAATAATTTTGTTTATTTGTCTCTGACATTTTTGGTTTGAAAGAGAAAATTTTGGAGAAATTTTACAAAAAAAAAACGAACTAAATTGATTTTTTTGGAACTCTCGTTTTTAGTCTTGTTTCTGCAGGATATTATTCCTTCCATTTCTTCCAGAAAAAGAAATTTTTTGCAATAAACATATCGGTATGATTTCTAAAATTGTTTACTTTAAAAATTTACCTGAACAAAAACGATTACTAATATTAAATTATAAGTACTTACGAGTATACTTATCGTTCTTCCTCATAGCCTATGTAATGAAAAAATCTAACTTGTACGTAATATAATCATATATAATGTGAATGTTAGACATGTTTTCTCTCACGTAATTCAACATAAAACTTTAAGATTTTGAAGTTTCACGAAAGAACTAAAAATATCGTTTTGTCTCATTTGAAGCGATAAGAAATTTCTTTTTTTTTAAATGAGTCTTGTTTGAGTACTGCTGTATCTTGAAGTCGGTCACAAAAAAAAATTTGCATGCTTTACAATCCAATCTTTTTTCTATGGCATCTGGAAATCTTCTACATAGTGGAAATTGGAACTACGAAGTTTCTTTTTTGTTTTTGATTGTTGATTTAGTTTGATACAAATCTCATGTACCATATCGATAAACGATATTGGACAATGATGCTTTAATTTGTCTAAATATTATAACTTTATCATCAATATTTATTTTTAATTTGACTTTAATAATAAAATCGCATATACTTGAACGATGAACGTAGTTGATTGTTTAAGACGATCATCAATTAATGAAATACAATCATCTAAATTAAACATATCAATATATAATACACTAGTGTTTGAGAAGTAAAAAGTACTTGATTGTAGCTCAAAAATTAATAAAGGTGAATAATCATTCTCAGACGATGAAAAAAAATAGTAAAAATGCTTTTAAATTTTGAAATAAACTCAAACAATGTGCATATACATTTCTAGCATAATTATGATTCGATATCTTTTTGACAAATTAATTATTATTATGAAGAATAAAATGTGTTATTTGATGATTAAAGATATGTTGAACAGCTAAAAGATGCCAATGAAAAAAAAACATCAACAAAGACAATTACTGAATTTTGTTGCATTTTCCTATGATGATTAATCAAAAACATGTTCAGCTCTTACATGTAAAGGGATAATAAATTATATCTTATTTCAAATAGAAAAAATTCTAAACAACTCTAATTTGAATAATTATCAGTGAGAAGAAATCGTATTTTGAGAATCAGTTTATTTTATTCAATGACAAATTCATGACAGTATTTTAATAGAAAATTGATTAAACTTTAAATGATTGATACAAAATTGAGAATATTGACAAAAATCGATCATTTTGTACTAAAATATCAAATCGTTCACTATTAATACTATATAACGAATAAAGAACATCCATGTTGTCGTTTTTTTTTTGAAGATAATAAGTATTATTTCATTAGGGAGATCATGGAAACTAATATTGGATCGGTGGTGACCGCAATAGGAAAAGTTTAGTCAATCAATGTATAGTTCGCCGTAGGATCATTAATAGATGCTTTTTTTTTCAATATTTATTTATTTTCTTGGGATCATTTCAAAATTACCACAGAATATTTGCATTTAAATATTATTTAGCTAAAATGAAATCTATATTTCAATAATATTTGATGGTATTTACTGATTATTGCTATCTTCTTACAAATTTCTCTGTTACAAAATCTATATTTGTGTAGACATGATTAATATAAACAAATTTCAACTACTACTTTGTTTTTCTACGAAGAAGAAACAATTTTCAGATAATTTTCGTAGTTTTATTGACTGGCGAAAAGAATCTATTTTAGTACATATAGAAATTCGTCAAGAAAATTAGTTTAGATTACAGCGATTTTTCATTTGAAGATAAACTCTTCATAATCATATATATTGAATAATAGTAAATGTCAAGTTCTATCTTTATCTATTGACATATGAATATAGGTATTAGTATTCACAATCACATTCATATTCATCCTTTTTTTAAATTGGTTCAATCTTATGAATTGTATGATTATCATAAAAGATAGATTTACTATATTGTGATGCTTAGATATCGAATATGGATAAATATTCATCTAAATACTATTAATAACATTCTTCTATGATATGACATACAAATTTTAAAAAAAACTTATTTTTGTATGATATTCAAAAACTGAATGAACCATTCAAAGAGAAAATTTCTCTTGGAATAATTAGTTGTTAAAATGTTTCTAAATTTATTGACTGCTCATATGATTTCTAATTATATTTTTAAGTAGGTAAGGTAAACAATTTTGAAGATAACAAATTAAGCATAGAAATTTAGAAAAATTAATTATTTTTACAAAAAGAAACAGTTAAAATAAACTTTTTTTTTAATCTATAAAATATCGAAGTCTAACGTATCTGCTCTCAAATTGAACAAAGCTTTGAAAGTATTCCTTCAATATTTCAGACAAAATTTCATTCAAGCTAACAACCATAAGAATTTACATTTTCATTTAATGATAATAAATAAACAGTATTTGATACGCATAAACATTGAACACTTTCACTATGA